CAATGTGGTAACAACATTTTTGAAGAATATTTCTATTATTTTAATAGAAATTATAATTTTTAAGAAAATCTATCTATCCATCCATCCTCTTTTATTTATATTGAATATTTGGTTTAGTTTTCATTAAATAAAATGTTATTTTTGTTGACTAGAAGCAGAGTGAAATGCACTAAAATGAATGATTAATGACAAAATACTGACTAAATTTAAATGATATTTTCATAAAAAGACAAACTCTGTTCAAATTAGCGCACCGCATGCAGCCAGAGCAGAACTTGGAAACCCACTGGCCCAGAGATGGCATTAAACGGCCTTTTCCATGAAATTCATGGATGCTAGCTGCAATCCAAGAGCTGACTTAATGAAACACTTGAGCAGCATATGGTTTCTGCTCCGTTATTCTAAGAAGTGGATCCAACTGGTCATGTATTATTCATAATTTTTATAATATAATAATGTATTATTCTAAAATAATAATAATAATTTTTAATAATTTAAAATATATAAAAATGTAAAATATGTATTTATTCTAAGAAGTGGATCCAACTGGCATCGCTGCATCTATCTGGAGGCAACATGTTGAGACTGGACCGCTTTCGTGACGTTTCTCCTCGCCAAACAAAACGATTTTTCAAATGTCGTCAATCATTCGCCCTTGCGAGGACAAACGCTTACCTGTTCTGCCTTTAAATCATCACGAAGTCGGTTCTCTAGAGCCAAACGAATCGTAGATCAGTGTTACAGGTTTGGTAACCAGCTTACGTCAGCTAGAGCGAAACCTACCCTGTCAATTATGCAAATTGCCCCAGTCAATTAGTGCGGAGAAAAAAAAACACTTTTTTTCTTCTTCAATCGCTGACAGAATCTAAGCGTTGTGGAACGATAGCCAATTACTTAAATGGCTTGCTCCCATGTCATGTTCTCATTCATTTAATGGTGGTTATTTGGACGGAAAATTGCAAGTAAACAAAGTTTGACCATGTCTTGAGTTGTCAAAGCCACTGGACGACATAATTCACTCTCAAGGCCGTCAACTCTTCCGTCTTCAACGTTCCTCGTTCTGCTAAATGCAAGACACCGTCTCCTGCACCTTAATATTCATGTAGCGCATGGGGAAAACCCCACTGATGTGCTGAAAAAGGCTTCATGAATTAAAAAGGGGTGGTGATGAGACTAAAACCAGAACACAAGCGTGAGAGGGAGAACAGAGGCTCAGAGAGCAGCCGTGTCTTAACTATAGACACCAGGAGATCATGGGAGCCCCAGGAGAAGAGTCTGATCCTTAGAAATCACTTCTCTTTGTGCTTTATTAACCAGCGGGCTGTTCTCACAAGTGTGGCGCCACCATATTCGAGAACATGCAGCATCAAATGGTGTTAACGGTCAAAGAGAACCTGGGGCGCAAGTTGAGTTGAAACGTAGCCTTGTTGTGGCTAAATGTTTGAGCTCTGAACATCACCCTAGGTGTGAACTAAATATTTACAGAACCCTCCGACCATGAGCAGCAGAAAAAAAAGCAGACTGACTAGAATATCATGAGAATAACTGACTTGACTTGAGTCATTCTCCAGGACAAACCTGTTACTTGTGCTAGTCAATTCAGGATTCAATACAAACACAAAATTGAAATGTTAAATTATAGTTTGTACTTGCTTCAATTATTTTATTATACATAGTCTTTTATTCTTTATTATTTGATTAAATATTATTTAGAATTATTTACTTTATTTATTATTAATAATAAATTTTATAACCTATTTATTTAATAGATTCATTTATTTGTATGCATGTATTTAAATATTAAGTACATAAATATTTATATTTATGTAAATATTCACACATTTAAAAATACTACTTATTTTATTTCAATGGAAATTAAATGTAATACAGTTGACCATGAGGCAATAATACAGTTACACGGTTACGTTAATATAGTTACATTAGGGCAATAAATAAATAAAAAAATAAATACATAAATAAATAAAAATAAAAAAATAAAACCAGTTTGCAACAAGATAAATTATATATATATATATATAACTGACAGTTACATATGGAATGAATGAATGAACTGCAACAAGATAACTGACATGCACAACTTTCCAATACAAATTTGTAGCTTCTTCTTGCTGTATATGCAACCAAATTAAGAACAACAACTTGTAGTCACTAAGCTCCAAGAATGAACTTAAAAATGTAAAAAAACCATTACAAATGGCTGGTGCAGCCTTAGTCTTTGGTCTGTAATTTAAAAGAGTTTGAAGTACCTGTTTGACCTCTATACTTCTATTACTAAATGGTGTCACTGATGGCAAAAAAGGCACAGGCTGACCGCAGAGGTACTAGTGGGTGGCCCTAAAAGTTAGTCTGAGGGGGGTCCAGCGGACACATACCTCCCAAAGCAAATATGGAAATGATAATGATGTGCTGAAAAGGAGGCAGACTCCAGCAGCTGGTTGAGCGCGGCTCCTCTGTTGCCATTGTGCCGCCACCCGCGCGTAATAGAAAAGGCTCCGGATTAGTTCCACTTTGCAAATCATGTTGGTTCACTGATCTTTTTTCCACTTTCCGCAACCTTTTTTCCCCACCGGCCCATTGCTGCCAACTTTCATTGAATGGTGGATTATCAAAATAATAACTAAGGTGACAATAACAGGCTTTTTTTGATGCGATAGGCAACAGGTCTCCACTTTACCCAGTTTGAATAACACCGAAAAGGAGGGAAGAGCAAGTGTTATGAAGTCACACGGTCAATTAAAGGGAGGACAGATTTAGGTGGTTTTAAATATTCTTTAATGGTTTTAGAAAAAGACGTTTTCCGGCCGCCCCACCTAACCGCATAAACCGGGTTTGACTAACGTGTCGAAAAAGAGGGAGGCACTTTAAATCAATCATAGATTCATGGATTTAGCTTTTAGGAAGCACTCTTAAAGAGGCGACAAGCCTCGCCCCGTATGCATATGAAATCGCTGCCCATTTTGCGTCTAGTGTCCACATGGGCATAAAATATTCACATGACAGCGATACCACTTTCAAGCATGATTTATTACTAATTGCCTCACAAATTAATTTGTGGTTTCGACTTCAACATATTCAAAGTAATTAATGCTGGAAACAGACTCTTCAGCCCAGTTCTGTGAGCCGTTTGGCTTTATATCCAGCAAATAAAGAATATCAATAATAGAGAAAAAGCAAAAACAGGTACATTTCCACACAAACCCTTACTTTTGCACAAAGGTAATCGAATACTGGACAAAATGTGCTTTGAATATGCAATGGAAAACCACAAACAAGCCAACAGACTGTAAATTCAGGAATCAGAGTTTATTTTCCTCACTATAACTCAACCATGCGAAGACAACAATATGTAGCCGCTCACTGCGTGTCTTTGGGTTTGATTAAAAACCGTCCTTATCTATGACAAAACCATTCACAGCCAGTGACAATAAGGTCATGATAACCTGATCCAGGCCTCCGTCTGATAAAGCCTCGTTCGCTGGGAAAACCAACCCATGTGTAAGTCAAACTCAGAGATCCGGTTAAGTGTTTACATTAAACGCATGTAAATCAAGCAGCCGGACGAGGTGATACACACTGTGGGTTGCACTCGTAAAGTGACCGCACTCACGTCCTTAGTATATTTGTCAACAAAGTCTGACTGTAACAAGCTACATATATAACGCTCCCTCACTTTTACCCACGCTGCCTCAAGCCCAGTTTACACTGACAGCAAAAATCCTGGCAAGAAAAACACTTAAAAAAAAACAAAACACAACACGCACACACACACACACACACACA